TGAAGGGACAATTGTGAGACAAGCTTTGCTCTAGGGGCGGAATGTTGGGCTGACAAAAAACAATATACTCATAGAATGAGTGTAGCGGAGAAGAGGATGGTGAGATAAATGAGTGGAAGGACAAGAAGGGATAAAAATTTAGGTGTGGCACCAATAGGCGATAAAATGAGAGGGGGTAGACTTAGGTGGGCTGGTCATGTGTGGTGTCGACTAAGTACAACACCTGTTAGGAGGCGTGAATTAGTTCAAGTGGAAGGACTGAAAAGGACAAGAGGTAGGCTCAAAAGGACGTGGTTGGAAGTAGTCCAAAAAGATATGGGGACTTATGGCGTCACTGAGGATATGACCTTTAATAGAGCAAAATGGAGAATCTGGATTCATGTAGCTGACCCCAATTAATTGTTGAAAGGCTAAAATGGTGGTGATGATATCCAATTTGATTGTAAATTTTTTTTTTTTTAGAAATTTTTGGGTACTCATTCTCGGTAACATGACCATGATGTGAAACTATTTGATGAAATGCTTGGGAGATACTTGGTTCCTTATAAATTCTAATTTTGTAGGTTAAACAATCCAAAATATTAAATCTATTAAAGTTTCGAAATAGGGGTTGACCTAACCATCAAACATGCACAAGAAAATATTTATTAGAGTAATATATAATCCAAAGTAATGAAAGCTTTTTTTTAGGTAAATAAAAATAATGAAAGCTAGTAGAGCCTTTATTTAAATTTCTAAATTTTTCAATATTCAAATCCTGTTTTATCACGCATACCCGTATTTATTTATTTTAGATTTGATGCTTGGCTAAGTGGGGCATACATTCAAAATTTGGAATATAAGGATCCCTCCTAGCATGGATTTCCAACTAGGGCGGACCTGCTCATAAACTCATCACCGTTTGAAAAAATCGGGGCGTGCGCTTTTCGATCGCCACAGACTTAGTATGTCTGTGGCGGTATCGCCACAGTATGTGGCGGTAGTATGTCCGTGGCGGTCAAAACATCATGCGGAACCGCAACAGACGGTGCACTGTCCGTTCAATAAACCGCCACGGACATAGCAAGTCCGTGGCTGTGGCGAAACACTGTAGCAATTAGCCTATAGGCATTTTTTAGGTTTTTCCTATGAATATATGTATGTGTGTGTGATCACCATCCAAAGTTCATCAGATGATCACTATTGTAAATCGACTTCAAATTTTATGGGTGTGTGTGCTTTAGTGAGGCGTGAGGCGCACCTAAGTAAAATATTAAAAAGTAATCTTCATAATAAGTGACCAAATAACTCTTGTGAATATTTTAGGGATATTTTTTGTGATTTTATTTTTTGAGAATTAGTTTTTGCATATTTTATTTAGGTGGTTATATGTACACACACTCCAAATTTAAGATGAATATGATTTGTAAAAAAAAATATTAACATTCAAACACTATCAGACAACTGTGACCATATGATGGACTTTGGATGGTGATGAGCCATGAGCGAACTACTGTAAAAATTTGCTCATGAGTGTTTATAAGTGTTTTCCACATATATTATATGCATATATATGTATACACATGTGTGTGTAGGCATATTTTAGGTTTAATCAAAACTAATGTAGAAGTTTTTGTCAGAGAGAAATATTTATTAACTACTATGTAGAATGATATCACCTACAAGAGATGTGATACCATCCACATGGGAGTGACATCACATACATGTTGGATTAATTGCTTTTAAAAAATAATAAAATGGCATTATCTTTATAAAAATATCCATCCATCGGATGGGTGTAGTTGAGATGGGGATGTTGAGATGGATGAGTGGCAAGATAAGAAAAGATATAATTCAGATGAATATATACTAAGGAGCTTAAGGGTTGCACCAATAGGCAATAAGATAAGGAAGCCAAACTTAGGTCCGCTAGCCGTTTGCACTAATACACCGCCGATTAGGAGAGATAATTTGGTCCAAGTGGAAGGCTCTAAAAGGGCAAGGGGAAACCCCCAAAAGGAGATGGATGGAAATAGTGAGAAGAGATACATGTTGACTGAGGGTATGACCATTGATAAAGTAGAATGGTGGAACAAGATTCATGTAGCTAACCTCAAATATTTGGGATAAAGCTCGGGTGATAATGGTGATGACCTATTGTACCTCTTATTAATGGAAAAAAGTACCCAATGTATCCTTCTTCAAAAAGTTTTGTTAAAGGCAAGGTTATTTAGTGTCTAATGATTGTTGAATAGGTTAAGGGAGTACTTAAGCATATGCTTATCTCTTTTCATTCATCAATCTCTTCCTCATTGACTGGGCTGGATGCTATGCTGCCAAATCAAACCACCTATCAAAAAAAGACCGGTAAGAACTATCCAAACTTATCCAAAAAAAAAAATTTCCCCACAACTTTTCATCCTAAAAAATGTAAACTATCTCATGGGCTCTTATAATGCAAAAACTTAGACACTGGATTTAGAGAATCAAAGCAATGTTACGGGACTCACCGCAACCAAGGTACTCGGCCCTTGGCCTAGGTGAGTGATTGGTTGAGTCCAAGAGCCAAAAAGCCCGAGAAATTTTTAAAAAATAGAAACGTATAACATGGTTGTAGTAAAAGTAAAATGAAACGAAAACTAATCTTAAAAAGTCCAATAAGTTTTAAAAAGTATTTAAAAAATGGATATTAAAAAACTGGTTTATAGTTGGAGTCATTTTTAATTCTGTTTTCCAAAAACTAGGAAAATATAAAAATAGGGATCAGTGCAAGAAAGAACACTCACCATTTTTTACCAAAAAATCCAGATTACATAGAAAATAAATAAATAACATTCCCCTATTATTTCTATTTTTAAGAATTAGTTTTAATTCGTTTTTGTACCCTGAGTTATACATACAACTCGGGGCAACTCAGTCAAGTCCCATAACCTACCAAGTTAAAGTAACTTAGTGGGTGCCAAATCAAACCACCTATCAGAAAAAGATCGGTAAGAACAATACAAAGAAAATTGTCAAATTGTCTCCAAATTTAGCCTAAAAAAAATAAAATTTCCCAACTACTTTTCATCCTAAAAAATGTGAACTATCTCATGGGCTCTTATAATGCGGAACTTAGACATTGGATGTAGTCAAAGCAATGTTACGGGACTCGCCTCGTCAAAGGTACTCGGCCCTTCGCTGCGGCGAGTGACTTGGTCGAGTCTAGGGGCCAAAAAGCCCTAGAAATATTTAAATAATAGAAACATATGAAAAATAAAATGAATGTAGGAAAAAGTAAAATAAAATGAATACAAACCTTAAAAAGTCCAATAAGCTTAGAAAAATATAGAAAAAATGGATCTTAAAAAACTGGTTTATAGTTGAGGTTATTTTAAAAAAAAATCAAAAAACTAGGAAAATATAAAAATAGGGATCAGTGCAAGAAAGGACACTCACCATTTTTTACCAAAAACATCCAGATTATATAGAAAAAAATTAAATAACATTCTCCTATTATTTACTATTTTAGGAATTACTTTTAATTCTTTTATGTACCTTGAGTTATGCATACAACTCGGGGCAACTCAGCCGAGTCCCATAACCTACTAAGTTAAAGTAACTGAATTGTGAACTACTACTGTATGTAGTGAAGCCTTGTTGTAGGCCTATGGAGTTATGGTGCTGATTTTGATGGGAGCTCCTTTGGAAACCCAAACCTAGCTAGGCTCTTTGTAATGAGCAGGATTGCAGTAGGTGTATTTGAGAAGGCTGTCATAAGCTACCCTATACTGGAGTTTCTGGAGTTTCAAATTTCAGGAAGGAGGTAGCAAGAGAGTTTTTTTAAGTGGACTTAGGATTTTGTGCCATATTTTTCTATTTCCCCATGGTGGCAGGTGACTTATACGATCTGTTGGGCTAGTCGCTCGGCCCCTTTTCCATGTGGAGGCTTATATATGTGTCCAGATGAAATTTTGGGTCACGCTTCTTTGAGACTCATTCCAGCTCATACATAGGGGTAGAAATGAGAAAGTAATTATCCTGTCTTGGCATAGGTTCACTAGTGTAGGTCCGGGTGGATGGGGCTCCAAACTTTGGTTGATTATAATGAACTAAATGACTTCTGTGTGATGCTAAAGTGTTCATGGATTTTTAACCCTTTGACTGTCGTACTGCGGCTTGGATATGGCTTTTAATGGAGCATAATGGAGAACCAGGATTCATGTAGCCGACCCCAATTTAATTGGGAAAAGGCTAAAATGATGATGATGATGACTGTCGTACTTCGGCTTGGACAAGTTAGAAAAAGTGGTGCTGTAAAAATTCAAACTTTTGCCATCCAAAGGTGGTTCTGTTAAAGCAATGTGCGTTTTATTGGGAAACTTGTCAACATTTCTTTCTCCGACTGACAGATTTCCATTGTCCTAAGTGGAGGATGCTTTGAAGAATATATGTTGCGTCTACCTTAAAGGGAATTAATAACCTATTGATGCTTGTTAACTTTGATCAGTGGAGTTTGGTGATGAAAACTTGGTTTCAAATGTGTCGTAGAGGTCTGATGTCTGTCGTATTGCTTAAATAAAAATCATGTCTGATGTAACTTCATGTAAATACTTGTGGTTTTCCTGTCTTATTTGCGACTGGTGCTGCTGCTCATCACTTAGTCATATCAGTTCATCACTGTGAAGGTGATTTTGTTATAGCTTTCTTTATGCACAGGAAGATGTGGCATAAATATGCATTCTCTTTGTATGTGTATGGCATGTAATAGTGTCTTATATTCCTGCTCCTTATGTATATGGATCTTTCAGTAAGCATGTACAACTGCCATCAACTCTTCTCAGGCTAGCTGGATTGAGCTTCATGTTGCATGATATCAGTAGTCATCATTTGTCAATTGCTGTTGGCTTCCCTATATGATCAAAATTTATACATGAACCTTGTTTGATTTATTCTTTGGAAGTTTATCTGCACATATTTTGTGTGCACTTTATTTATAAACTATGATAGAAGAATTTTACTTGAGTATCACTCTCCTCTAGGTGTTCTCTGGGTGATGTCACAAACAATGATGTCAACTACATCAAAGCATTAGAAGTTTCAAAAAACAAGTCAGCACGAGCTCAGGTAAGTCATTGACCTTTCACGGGCCCAATATTTTTTCTTTCACGCTAATTACATGCTGACTATGCTTCCTTGACAGAGATCGCTGGCTAGAAGTGCATACAATAGGGCGGACTATGAGAATGCCATAAGACATTGGTATCTCTTTCCAAACTTGGATTTCAATGTCATTGCTTGTCCTTCATGTGCTATGTTGAATTTCCACTTGGATGCCTTATTTTCCCACATTTCTACCATGACCTGTTTCTTTTCAATTTCTTATTGGAGCATGAGTGAAACTAATGATCCATCACTTACTAATCGTTAGGGAAGCTGCACTGGCCTTGAATTCTCTGTATCCAGATGGTTGGTTTGCCCTTGGTTCGGCTGCTTTGAAGGTTATTCCTCTTTTTCCCGGCTATATTCTATTTTTTTTTTTCTTAATTTGAGAAGACGTACAAAATTGGAGTAGGGTATGCATATTTTGATACCTAGATTGGTGATGTTTCATACCTAGTATGCTGGAGGATATATATCTTTTGAATGAGTTATTCAGTTTGTTGGGCAGTGCAGGCTCGTGAATTTGATAAGGCTATAGATGCATCAACTCGTGCTGTTCAACTTGATCCTGAAAATGGGGAGGCATGGAACAATCTTGCTTGTTTGTATGTGATTCTTGAACTTCTCATAGTTTTTTTATCTCTTTTGTTCGAACGTCTATTATATCCAGTTTACCTAATTTTTTTTAGAAATTTTTTATACTTTAGAGAAAAAGTTTGTCTCGTATGCTTTATTAGTTCTTTGTAGTGTATGTACCCTAGAAGATTCCCTTTTATCATATCTCTCTGTTCTTTTCATTCATCTCACTCATAAATTTAAATTTATTAAAAATGTTAATCTTTTTCTTTCTTCTGAGCCTCACTTTTTATGAAAGTTATGGAGACTGTGATTGCCACTGATCAGATTTAGGTGGAAATATGGATCACGTACAATATGCATTGAATTGATTATGTGAGGTCAATTAAGTTTTGTACATTTCTTGCAGTCATTCTTATAGATTTGAAGGTCGACTATGGTGTCTCTTGCAGGCATATGGTCAAGAACAGGAGTAAGGAGTCTTTCATTGCCTTCAAGGAGGCTTTGAAGTTCAGGTATTCCAGTAATATCTAAATAGGATTGATTTTCTACTTTATATTTCTGAAGGTATTTTTCATGAAATTACTACTACAAGAAGTCGCAAATATGTGTGCCTGCATTATGCTCTGTAACTCTCTGCTGTTTAGGTTGCATGATAATGTGGTGTATGTGGCATGGTTTTAATGTGGTGTGTGCCATTGTTTCACTTTGTTCCGACGATGACAGAGTTACTTGGCAGGCGGACTAGCTGGCAGATGTGGGAGAACTATGGCCGTGTTGCAATGGATGTTTGCAACTGTAGCCAGGTGAAGTTGATAAGTGCCTTTCACTATTAAAATTTTGGCATCCTAAAGAAATTTGTATAGGGACCTTTTTCTCGTGTGAACAAATTGTTAGTTGTATCCAGTTGTCATCCTTTATTTATTTTAGAGATATAGTTTTTAGTTTATTTTGTGGAAATGTTCATCTTTTATAAACACTCACCTTTTTAATAAATGAACACTACTTGTACCTGCTAATTTTGGAGCATTCTATCATTTATGTTAAAACGTCATTTCAGGACATCGTGAACTGAAGAATCTTTCATATGTAGCATTTTTTGTAGTGATCCTTTTGTGGATGGTGGAGACCTTATCTTCTATATGAATTTGAATTCAAAAGTCTTCTATATGAAATTATCCAGGGACTTTATTTTAACTTTTATTACAATTCTTAGCACTAAATAAGTTCTTGAAAATTTATAGAAAATAGAAAATAATATTGAAAATAAATAAAAACTAATGGGAAGACTTATTGGAAGATGCTTGGAGTTACCCTCCCTGGACTTAGTACACTTCACACCCGATTCCATGACCAATGGCGCACTTTTACTCCTTAAGTTGTTGCTGGAAATTCTAAGATAAGGAAGCTTTATAGGTAATACTTCTTTCTCTAGGGTTTTAGAGAGCTAAAAAATAAACAGGGGTTTTTACAAACCCTATGGAGACAAACTAGGGTTGATCTTGGGAGTTGATCTTTCTTTAAAGTAAGCTTCTCTCTTTTTCCTTAAAAATACAGCAAACCCTTTATCTAGTGTTTCTCCAAGAAAGGCCACCTCTATTTTTCTTTAAGACAAAATATAGAAGAGACATAGAGGGTGGCGTACCTCTCTTTGGTTAAAAGAGCGGGTGGCGTGAATAGAAAAAAGAGAGGAGAGAGAAGGTGGCATGAAGAAAAGATCTCTCCTTCTTTTTAGTGTGTGGAGGAAAGAATAGAGGGGGGAGAGAATTGTAGTGTGAGATAGAGAGAAAAAGGTCTCTCCTAATTTTACTGCATGAGAGAGAGAGAGAGAGAGATGATCTTTGGGAGAGAGAAAATATCTTAGGATGGTTTGAAACATGGTCAAACTTGGTTTTTAAATAGAAGGAAATCTAGAAGAAATCTATCTCCTAGTTTGAATATGATTCATTCTCCTAGTTTGAATAAGAATCATTCTCATATTATATCATCAAATTTTCAGCTAAACCTTTTAGGATAAATAGAAAATCTGTGGTGGATAAGAGATTAATTAGAGCCATCCATCCAAAAAATCTGCCATCATGATTTTGGGTGGAAAGATTAGGAATTTTATCCTCTTACATTCGTGCCCCTTTCTTCCTAAGAAGGTGGCACGTCACCTTTTTCTTTAAAAGGTTTAAACAATATAAAATATTAAAAGAGGATGTGACCCCACTGTTCCACAAATAATGGTGTTGCCTCCCCTTTTGCTTAAAAGGTGGGGTGGCCAAAAATGCTTTACAAGAAATCGGGCATGGGTGCATGTGGTCCCACAGTGAGGTTGGATTATTGGTCCCACATGTGTTATTTTTAAAGTTATGAAATTTCAGAAATACCTTTTTGTGAAAATTACACCAGAAATAATATTTTAAAATTTAAAACAAAGTATTTAAAAATAAAAAATATTTGTAATACCAAAATAAAATATACTAGGAGTGGACTGGTACCAATGGGTCAAAATAAGTGATAATAAAGGCATTCCACTTACGCCAGAAACCATGATTCATAACTGTTCTCTTATGCAACCCAACAAAGTCCTATGACCCATAGTCTCTTTGCAGGGGCTCATGATTGATTTGTCAAAGTTGGATAATAACCAGTGTGACCATAGTCCTGGAATGTGGATTTCAGTCCTCCCTTTAAGAGCAAGTCTAATACTTGTCACCATAGTGCAAAAGGGGCTCTTTCAATGCACATGTACATGTAGCCCTTTAAAGACCTGTTTTTCATGCGGTTGTCATGTGTACATGCCATGCGGAAGTTTGTTGAAGATTTAGCCTTTGCTTTCACAGGCCTATAAACGCACACTCTCCTACAAACATGATTCCTGAGCATTTCTCCGACCTCAACAAGGGATGACCCACTTCAAACCCTTCTTGGTTGTGCCATATGCCCAGGGCTAAAGGTTATGGACGTAAAATACTCCTGATAACCCTGATCTTGTTATCCAGTGTACTTTTATATTGTTCGATGGTGTGCCTACAAAAATAATCAAGATAGGCTTTTACGCCATTTCCCATGAAACCCTATACCACTGAGAAATGTGCTCTTTTATCTTTCAAATGAATAACTGCACTATCATTTTTCCAACACAAGAAAAAGGTTATCTTTACTCTCTCTCACTACTCTTCTTCCACTTCTGACAAATTTCCAGTCCCTGAGATGTTATGAAGATTGCCCCAACCCCATAGCCTCAGTCTTGTTCTAGGAGGACAAAACCAAAGGGTTTGGTCTCTCCCATCTTCTAAAGAAAATGATGAAATGGTGGTGGATACTCCTGAAGAAGGTGCCATTGCTTGTTCAGTAACAGGAACCACTGATTCTATGCTTTGTTGAGACAGAAGCTTGTGAACTATTTCACTTATCTAATGACCGCCTTCCTCCCGTCGTTGTTGCAGAGTAGAAAATGGTAGAAAACAGTGGAAGAAAACCGTAGAAAACTAGAGAGACACTGCCAAGGTCTTCACTTGCTGGCTGTTTCAGATACTTTTTGGAAGATGAGTTCTTGGTGTTTTCAATGGGGTCAGAAAACTGAGAGGAAGTGCTATTCTCTGAGGAAATTTTCAAAGTTTTCTAGGATTTTGGCAAATTGGGGCTTTGATCAATTACTGGTGTTGTGATGCAAATTCATACCGGACTGCATGTTGATCATGGTGGACAAAGGTTTGGGTATTGGGGCTGTACGATTGAGAGAGGGGATGATTCTCTCTCTCTCTCTCTCTCTCTCTCTCTCTCTCTCTCTCTCTCTCTCTCTCTACTACTACTACTACTACTACTACTACTATATATAGTATAGTAGTATACGTACGTACGTACGTACGTACGTAACGTAACGTAACGTAAACGTA